TTTTTGTATTTTCAGTTCATATCTCAACTAAAATTGTCTTAGTGTTACCAGTCTGCCATGATATTTGGGGCCACATTACAGCAACAGATTCACCAGACGTGAAGGACATCAAAGAGGAAGCAGTCATAATCTCTTTAAGACAGTCAGTTGTCAGGGGACATTTTCAGCATAAATAAGGATCCATTGAATCTCATCCCAGAGTGGGTCAAACTAGTCAAAATTGAAATACATCTCCTAAATTCCTTCAAATAGAATACTCTTTTTAGGTTACTAAGCTGTGATAGTTACTCAGCAAAATGTGTTCAAGGTTATATAATTAGCATGTACACGTTACCTTGCTGATCACCAGAATAATATTGATTATAATTTGTCGTTTTAGTGGCTAGTGAGTTTGGATAGGTATATCTGTATCGATGAGCAGTAATTAAAATTAATAACCTGGTAACTGGATAGTTTAAAGCACAGTATACCCTCTGAAAACCCTCTCCGGATGAAATTCACTAGATTTTTATCGAACCACCGTCATCCATCGGTCTGGCGTCAACGTAATACTTTAAACAACTTCTTCTGAATAACCAAAAGGCCCAGGATGTTGATATTTTGGTGGTGAAATGTTGAGATGAATGACCTTGACTTATATTCAAGGTTGCAATAAACAGGAGCCCTAGGGTTGTGATATTAAGCAATTGATATGTTAAAATGAGGGAGATATGATGTATGTGGAATTGAATGACATTGACTAGCATTCAAGGTCACAGGTCAAATGTGTAAATTCCTGTAAAATAAATGACTATTTCTGAATACCAAATAAATCTTGGGTGATGATATTTAGCCAATACCATGCTGGGATAAAGGATTATAAAATATATTCCAATGTTGTTGAATGACCTTGACTCAATTTTAGAGTGACAATATGTTAAAATTGTTAATCATCTTCTGAATAATCAAGAAACCTAGTACATTTAGGCACTCACATGCTATGATAATGTGCCGTCTAGTTTTTTCAAATGAATGATCCTGACCCAATTTCAGGGCCATATGTTTAAATTTGTTAAAACATTTAATTGACGTCTGAATAATAAAAGAGGCTGACTGAAGTCCATGACTTTTTGCGATTTAGGTTAAAGGTTTAAATCAATATGATGTGTTAAAAGTGACTCAATTGCTATAACAACCAGCTAAGTTCAAATAAAAAAAATGTTCCAAGTCGTCCAACAAAGATTCACAAAGATGAAAAAAAAAAAAAAAAAAAAAGGGGTAAAAAAAAAAGATCTGCCAAAAAAACCCCAAACATGCATAGTCTGATTGAACAGCTTAAAGACTTTCTTGTACTCTTTTTGATAAACATGTATTTTTTCCAACAGCTTGAAAAATTCAAAATACTCCAGGTGAGCTATCAAGGCCCCTTGGCCTCTAGTTTGGGAATAAAGTGAATAGATCTCTAGGCAAATTATGTTTTTAACCAGTAGGTAGACTAATAGAGTTATAAGGATTCATGTTTTGATATTTCAGATTTTTTTTACTATTCCTTAAGTATATATATATCTTTAGTCACATTGTTATGGAATATAGATTCTATTCAGTTATAGCCTTTGGTTGAGGTCGACACCTGGATTTATCGACCCGAGAAAAGATATATCAATTCTATTTTTAGAAACACCCAGTCCTTCAACAAAAATCCCACGCTCCAAGTCAATATCGGTTTTAATCGGTGAACACGTGATGCACTTCTGGCCAATCATTTGTCGGGAATAATCTGAAAAAAACCCAACTGATATCACCTGTATACCAATATCATTATTACTAAAAATGTACTGAAAATTTGTTTGAAATATATGGTGATTTCTTATTTTGAGTAATTCCATGATGATGTACTCTTGTAACTTATGTTGTGCTTGTTTTGACCAATAAAATTTCAATTAAAGAGGTTCCACATTTTTTATCATGTTTATCTTACTGCAGTTAGTTATTGATATTCATTTTTATCAACAAGTGAATGAGCTGATGAGAGTTTTTCTATTTAAAACTTCAAAATTAATAAACTATCTCTATTGAGATGAAGAAGCAAAATATGTTGAGGAGTTTTGGAAATTCATTGTACCATATGTTTTTATGAGATTCGATTAATTCACACTATTAAGCCGACATTAGCAAGTTTCATGTTCGTGTTGAGTGCAATTCCTTCAGTTCCTTTTACTATAACACCTGATATCTTTTCAAAATCGTTTTCAAAAGTCTTGGTCAAATCATTCTTGGATTGAAACTTGACTGCTTATTTTGGTATTCTTCTTATTACAATAACAATGATAAGATGTGTGTGTTTTTTTAATTAGAACTGTAACAGATCAATTGATTTTTTTTCAAATGTTGATCTAATTATGTTGCTAGCAAACCATCCCTATAAAGGTATTGGGGTAAATAATAATAACTTATAAAATATCCCGATGATCTCCAAGAATTATGACATGTAAGCCTTTTGAGCAAGATTGCCGAGGCTGGTATTACTTATAAATTATAATTATAGAAATAAAGCAATTGCTTTAAAATAATATTTTCTCGGATATCCATAGAATAGTATGCTATGATATATCTGGAAAGATTATGCATATCTATGAGATCATTGTTGCGATTATTTGGTTGTCTTACTAACGGTTTGACAACTAAAAACATCACCTATTTAGTTGGAGATTTCTGTGTCTCACCCTCCAGGTAGGGGAATATTCTTTATTATTAATCAACACATCAGATTTGTTTAAAGTCCATAGACAAGAAAATATTCATAAAAGCTGAAGGCCAGACAAGGTTGATCAGTTTCTTCAAATATTGAAAAACTGAATGTCTTATAATTCTTTCATTAATCTTAATCCTGCCAGGATATGCTGACTGACTACATTGTATATTCAAATATATATATATATTGCAAATTCTGGTTAAAATATTTAGAGTCTATCACTTTTTTTCTTGTGTAATAATACAACTCGATAAACAAAACAGCTAGAAGGTAATAATTCTCTAAGCAATGTATGATTATTAAAATAAAGAATTATTTAGGCTAAAAGGAACACTACATCTTCGTTTCATCCGCAGTCCGGTGAGAATTGTGATCTCGCAAATGAAAGCGTTTATTAGTTTTATTACGGTACCGGCGAGGATGCGGCGCTGCAGTCGTATTGTTTACAACATCGGAACGGTGTAAGTTCAAGCGAACGTCTGTTTGCAGTAGGTCTATTAGGTCTACATAAAAGTATGTTTTTTATAAGGAGGTACACGTCTACAATAAAATGAGACGCAAGATTAACATTCATCATGTCTTCTTGTAAACGATTCTCGCTGATCGATGATCTTGTAGGATTACGATGTGGACCGCCTCAAGATGGTCATTTGAATCATTAGCACGTTTGTAAAACTCTCCATTCGTCCTGAATTAATTGGAGGGTTTTAAAAGTAAATGGTCTAGAAATAGTCGGGACGAAATGTCTCTTCCTTTCTCCCAATGAAATCTAGGTCAAAACGGCAAAACGGCCCTAGTGAAAACGGCCCTAACGTAAAAACGGCCCTAGTTGAAACGGCTCTACTTATTAAATCTTGTTATACATTTTGATTGGATTTTAAACGAAGTTAGCAACCTGTAAAAGATATAAAGTTAAGAATAATGTAAGTACGTGTATGCCATGTACGTGTAGTTATTTTTACATAAATTTAAATGCATTGCTTTTTGTCTTTTCGTCATTATGTTTTTTTCTTTATTTCTTTCCTTGCTATATATCGTTGTTTCGTCTTTCGTTATATCGGATTTTTTTGTCTTTTCGTTATTTAGCTCTGGCGCTTTGGCGTTGCTTCTTTATTTCGCTTTGGCGGGTTTTTGTCTTTTCGTTATTTCGTTTTTTCGCTTGGCGTTATTTCACGGGCGACAAAGCGAAAAGACGGTAAATTAGAAAGGAACGCTCAAAACTGTCCAGTATCTTATTTATTCTTAGATAATGTATAAATAATATCTTTTGCGGTCGAAGATGCTTTCAATATATTGATAAATAAGCTAACAGTTGAATGAGAATTGTGCTTTATTTGACCGTTATAAAAAGTTTTAACATAATGTTATATATGTCAATGCATTGTTTATACATTCTGTATATAATGTACAAAAAGATAATACGTTAATTTGTCAACAACTTTATTCAATGACTTAATGATCAAAAGCATTCATTACAAAGCCTTAAGGTTTAATGCAATAGCGTCGCCCTGCTAAATATCAAATTTTGGAAAAGAATGTTGTTTTAAAAAAAGCAGTAAAATTAAGGTTAGATAAAATTCCATTCCAAGTGCGAGAAAGTGTTAAAAGTGGACCTACCCTTGTTGGTTTTCCACCGCTTAGCTTCCTGTTTGGTTAAGTCAGAACTAAACTAAAGCAAATTGAGAGTGTAATTTATGGTTGACTATAGCGGGTCAGTAGAAAGTGCCTAAACATTTGATATTTATGGATCTTGGGATTTTTTCTTCAAAATTCCCTTTTCTTTCGTTTTAAGGGTGCTGTATTTCTACAGTCCCATGAAAAGTGTTCGGGTGATAGGGATCAGTTAAACATATTGTTGTAAATGTTGTAAATAAGAGATCCAGACTGGGGTCTTATTTGAAAACCAAGATTCCGTGGCAATTATCAGTTAATAACATGTGTAAAATTTGTTATTGTTCTTTTGAATGTTAAAACATTGTGTATGTGGTATTATAAAAAATGTCAATGTATCTAAATTATATACATATGTCTACTGTTGTGTAGGGCATCGTATAGAGAATGTAGATCTATATATGAAAATGAGAGTTTGTACTCAGAGTGTATGTATACAAAAGCAGAGATTTTATACTCACATTCGTGTACAATTATTAAGTGATGGACCAATGATGGACAGGTGTGTAAGGTAAGCCTTGATACACATATAGGAACGACACACTTGATAGACAGGTGTTATAGACAGGTCGTCACTACCTAACAACAGATAGAACTATACGACAAAGTCCGGTGAGCGTAAACAAAGCAGATACATGTATTTACCTACTGTCGTATCACACTCGATGTCTTAATCAACTAGATGTAAATATTAATGTAAATGTAAACATAATATTTTCATGTGCGGACGGCTTGTTTGTGTAGACAGATACCGCTGTGAATACATGTCAATTGCTTGTGCATGTTGTAGACTCACTGTCCTGTCCACGGAGTCACCATGGCCGAGAATACAGGTAAGCCAGTTATAAATTAAACGATAACCTACTATACTGCGTTATATATGAAACATATCTTGAATTTGTGGCATGTCACATTAGAGAGACAGCTGAAAATTGTCCTTAAGGATAAGTAGAAATTGCAGAAACTAAAGTAAACGTCTGTTTGATTATTGTACTGTTATATTTCCAGATCTAAAGCTTCTGTGATAAATGTTAAATAACTTGAAAATACTGATTATTCACCACTGCTGACGGACTCACTTACTACTCACTGTTTCTAAAGTTGCATTTTGATAAATACCAATGACAAGTTTATGGCCGCCATCATGATCTCATTGGGAAAAATATGTTTTTCTTTGTGCTGCAAGATTTAGGCATTCCCAAAGGAACAAACTATGCCCTTCGCAGGGCCGATTTGTATGAAGTTGAGTTTATTGATGAGCATTGACCACATCGATAGTTTATACCCTCAAGAGCTTGAAATCAATGACACCACAGACTCATCCACTTTAGCCGCTTTTCACGATCTTTACTTACACTACTAAACTGTACGATAAGCGGGACGATTTCGTCTTTCCGATCGTAAACCATTCCTTTCCTGATAGCAACATTCTTGCTCCCCTACCTACGTCCTTTTTAATGTTACAATTGATTCGATACTCAAAAGGTTGCTCCGGGATACAGGGTTTCCATAGATGCAGGTTGATGAGCACAATGGAAAAGTGTAATGGTCGCCATTAGGATATCGCGGAAAAAATATGTTATTTTAAGCTCCATGTAAATTTATTGGTTTTATTCATATTTTGCCCAAATTTTATCTATTTTCAGTTTTAATTATGGATTTGCTGACACTTTATATTAATAATGATAATCATAATATAATAATAATAATGATAACAATAATGCTTTATTTATAGAAGTTACAATTAGTTACAAAACTATTCTCCCTTGAGGCCTTCTCTACAATCTATGTCAATAATATATACAAGGTAATACCATTATATATGAATATATATTCAGATATCATCAAAATTCAACATTTCAAAGACTTTAAATACTATTCCAGCATAATAACAGCCAAATAGGTTGCTGTTAAGTATAAAGAAAAGGGGGAGGGTTCCAAAATTGAATGTTGTCAAACTAACAATGCAATGAATGATCATTTATGATGCAACCAAAAGTACGGATCATATGCTACAGTATACATACATGTATAAACCCCCTTGCTATGGTTAGTTATCAGATATTTACAGGCAAATCAACAGCCGAAAGACATCTCAATCAATGATATTTTCCAGACACAAAATGTTTTCATCTTAGAATAAAAGTATCTTATAACTTTTGTATACCAAAAATGGATTTTGATAAACTGTTCGTTGACCAACCTCTCCAAGCTTTGCAGACAGGGGCATCCAAGATGTACGGCACTTCTTAAAGGTCAATAATTATTTCAGAAATTGATAGTTCAAACACTCTCTTCCTTATAGGATTACCTGTGTACAAGGTTTTAAGCCAACGTCATAAGATGAAATGAGCTTACAGGTGATGACACAGAACACCACACTTTGTGTGTGAAAATTAACTGATGTCTGGCAGGTTTTTGCAGAAGCGTGGAATTCCCTCCCTTCAAATTAATTATTGTTAAAACAGAGACAACATTTTTTATGTGAACAGGACCCGTAAAACAGCTCCTTGATTGTTAAGAGAGGAAAACTTCTAGTAGTTGGATCTTTTTCAGATTATCTTTCTTCTCAGATACCGTTTGTTTCACTTCGGACCAATACTAGCTTCTTCAGTTGAGCAATGTATGCCACTTTTAGTCAGTATATCCAAAAGCCATTTATATTATGGATTTATTTTCACATTTCGTGTACTTTTACATTTGCGAGATTTCGCAAAGATACTTTGGTAACCTTCACCAATACATTTACTCTTCATAATGAGATGAATATTAAACAAATGAGCATGAAATATTCCCTAAAAGCAGCGTAAAAACGAAAGTTTGATAATAAAATGTATAAAAAAAAGATAACAGAATGTAAAAAAGAATTCTAAAAAGTGACAAGAAAATTACATTTTATCTCAAAATTGATTGTTAACAACCCTTTTATCAATCACGCCAACTGATGAAATAAATTGAAATTTGGAATTGTTTGTGACATAACATGCACTGAAATGTTTATTGTAGGCTTGCAACGAATTTCATTACCAACTACCTGTAATCAAGTGCATTGCTTTTTGGTGGTCTCCAGGGAGGTGTCTTAGGCCCTCACCTTTTTTGTAATGCCCGAAGAACCCAAATCCTCCTTTCGGGAATGCATTTCGAATTACCCTTCTCATACACGACTTTACACCGATGGTTCCAAAGAAGTTGAGAAAGTGGCCGCAGCCTGCTGTACTGCATATACTTGCACTTCAGTTCGACTACCAGACGGCGCCTCCATCTTTTCTTCCGAAGCATGCGCCATTGGTTTGGCACTCGACCATATCGATGAACACCGCATTAAAAAGGCGATCATTTGTTCGGACTCTCTATTTGTCCTACAGAGTTTACAGTTACGAGTTCCTAAAAACACACTCATACAAAACCTTGCTCTTCGAATATCCTGTTTCTTAAAAAAAAATCTGAAATAACTTTACTATGGATTCCAAGCCATGTCGGAATTCAAGGCAACGAATGTGTTGACAGAGAAGCAAAAAATGCATTAAATCTCCAACAAACAAATACCAAACTATACCATATACAGATGTTAAACCTACTATTCGTACAGCCATTTGAAATGAATGGCAGCCACGCTAGTCTCTCGAGACCACCAACAAACTTTTTAAGGTACAACCGAAACTTAAAACATCTATTCCCAGTCGGAGAGATCGTAGAAGAGGATATTGTCCTCGCTCGGCTTCGTACTGGGCACACATATCCTACTCATTCGTACCTTTTAAAGCGAGAAGATCTACCTTCATGCCACGCATGTGACACTCCATTTAGAGTGGAACATTTTTTAATAGAATGATCCGATTTTAAACACATTCGTGATCACTACTTTCCCGGACATGAAAACTTTTTCAGGTCCGTGGACTCGAGGCATTATTTAACTATTTGAAAGACATCGGTCTATTCTACAGACTCAGATGTCTTTTAACCCACCTTACCCTCTTTGCGTTATGCATACATCACATATTCCATATAATCTATTAATTATATTTTTTTATCATTTTAACCCCTTTTATTTTGATTATTTACGCATACAATGCGAATGCTTTTAAATATGCATTTTTATAAGATTTTATCTTCGCTACTCTCATGTTTGTTGAATAAAATAAATAAATAAATCGCCATGGCCCTGAATGACCACAGTTGTCGATGGGCCGTTCAACACCAACAAACAAACAAACAAACAAACTCACCTTTTTGGGTACACAAGGTACTCTGTTGTGCGAAATGAATACTTTTCACCACTTTTTTGGACTGAAGTTTTGCATACAAATTTGAAATAACACCACTTCTTCATACTATTTAAGAATGAAAAATCCTATATTTTACATTATTATTTTTACAAAATATTCTATTAAACTCGCATTCTAGATGATAAATACATTATTAAAAGCACTGCATGAAAATAAATGTTCTTTTCTAAGTATAACGATGCAAAAAATACCATTTTTTTCAGAAAAATACTGTCAGGCTGATATTCCATGCTGTAATAAGGTTATTCAATCATCTAAATAATTAGAAGAGAGATTCAAAGTAATAACTCCAGCATAAAACTCGTAGTACTTCTGAAACAAAAGTTATGAGGGGGCAGGCTCCTATGTAAATTTAACATAACTGGAAATAGTCCCTTTATTGTATATGGACACAACGCAATTATATTATCAATACTTCAAATATGATATCAAGAAGCATATTCATAGTTATTAACAGACAATATTGCAGAGATGGTAAGCTATTCTAGTATAATTACTAATAAATCCTGACTTGCTGTAGTATCTTGATTACATGGAGGTTACAGGGAAACATATGGTCATAGTATTGATGGATCAAACTAGAAATCAGAGATGCTTATAACATTTTGTCTTGAAAGACAGCAGAAGGTCAGAATTTTCAATTTGTAAGGGCAAACCATTCCAAACATGAATACCAGACATTTGAAAGCTTTTCTTACATAGTTCTATCTGAGGTTTAGGTTTGACAAATACATTTTTGAGGTATTTAGGTGTTAATCCATTAATGGATTGTTACATCAGTACAACATTGTGATAAATCACCCATTTATTTATTTCTAGTTTAACAAAAGTGACTTAGATGGTGCATCTGATGGTTCATTGAGGATCATACGTGCTGTTCTTTTTTGTAACATAAGAACTCTATCTAAGTTTTGTTTGGGACAATTTTCCCATACAGTTATACAGTAATCAAGTAGTGGCATAATTAAAGCATTATAGAACAGTATTCTGGTATTATGAGGCAAACACTTCCTTATTTGAATGAGAAAAACTATTTTTGCTCCCAACATTTTAAAAACTCTGTCAATCTGAACATTCCATCGTAGAGATTTGTCAACATGAATACCTACAGGTTTGTGACCTGAAACATTTTCAATGGGAATATTATATATTTTGAAGTTCTTGCTGATTTCTGTATAGTAGAAACTAGCATAGCTTTAGTTTTGTTTTCATTTAACAGCATATTGTATTGTTCACAAGGTTGTTGTACATTATATAGATCTTCAGCAAGTTTTGACTGTATAACTCGTCACTAAGGTCCATAAACATGAAGTATGGCGTCATCAGCAGAAAGGTCAACTTGCAATGAGTATTATTAAAAGAGAGATAATTTATAAAAAGGAATGGCCCCGGGACAGAACTTAGGTGGACCAACTTTGGTATTCTCTTGCTTTTCTCCGTAAACATAAACCTATAAATATATTACAAGGACTACTTCTTTAAGATTGCCATTCACATTCAAAACAAACAACCAAGGCTTAATGATAACAAAACATGTATTTTATTAAGGAAATGGCTTAGGTGAGATCCTGGAGATTCGAGACAAGAGTGGGAATACCATGAGCGTGTTTAAGTACGGAGAGGACGTTATACCGCTAAACAAAGGTCTGCTCGACTTCGTACTTCCTCAGGAACATATGTTACGACTGGGGGACATGGAGGCCAGAGACGACGATATCATGATATGTGCTCACACTAAGGCGGGTATGTTACTCAGTCAGTTTTACACAGGGTAGCCCTTTTTCAATTCGATATGTATTTAACTTTTAATGAAGTGTACAATCCCTGCTCCAAATTTTATTTTATTGTATAATAAGTAAACGATTTGATTCATTGATACATGTATCATTTAATTGATACATGTATCATTTAATTGATACATGGACCATTTAATTGATACATGGACCATTTAATTGATACATGTATCATTTAATTGATACATGGACCATTTAATTGATACATGTATCATTTAAGAAGTTAATAGAACTATATTGATATACATGTATTATATAACCAGCGTGAAGTTAGTTACTTATTCAATGTTGGTCATTATGTAGCATAATTGCAATAATTATTGTGACACATGTATTGTATGTTATACCTTGTTGATGTTGATATATATAGTGGTGTAAAAGTTATGTATTTAATGATCTCATTATAAGGATGCACGTATTCTATTTCACAGTTAAAGTATTGCTTCAGAGGTAAACTAGTTTCTGGTCCACAAGCCAATGTCTATTTCGTGACGCAAATTCAAAAGAGATAGGTCTGGTCGAAGTGAAACCAGTATCCCGAAAGCGTATATACTGCTTGCCTCTGTGTAAGCGATATAGGCCTCTAAAAACGTTTTAAGATAGCTTGCACAAAGATATTGGTGGTTGGTCTCCAGGATGATTTGATTGTCCTCTTAAAAATCAATGTTATGTACAATTTATGTGCTGGTAATGAAGAAAAAAACTAGCATCCAAAGAAAAGTGATGATATTCCATAAGTGGATGTATATATGTATATATTGATTGTTTCCAATACGTGGTTAGCAATGTATAAATATATAAGATAGAGGATACTCCTCTCTATGTTATGTAGTCATCAGTATTTACTTCATCCAAGATATTGGACTAAAAAAGCCACACCTCCTTTGATGCAAAATTGCACACTCTCAAAACATGGCGGGCAGGCTTATCAACTAGTCATCCAGGGAAGTCCTTCGACGGACATTATAACAAGTACATGCTAAAGCAAAATCCGTGCTGAATATAGGCCCGCAGACACCGGATATAAAACCACTTGATATTTGACCAAACAGAGTTGCATGTACTTGTACCATATCGATAACCGCTCTTGTCAATGGCAAGAATGACCAACATCTCCAACCAGCTGGAGAACCAAAACCTCCAATCCTAACTTTAGTTCCTAGGTATTCACATGGCAAGCATTTGTTGATTGGTAACGATTAGACTGTATATCCCTGTCACAAACTCCTAGGGCACCTCCTACGCGACTTTCCAGTAGTCTGCTAGGGTAACCCCTAGCAATACCACTGGCAGGCCTATCAGTTATGACAAAGTGATTGGTGGTTTACCTAGGTACTCACTGGATATGGGAAATCATCATGATGTTGACCAGAGGATCGACAGTATATGCAGCGGGACCAAAGGAACACGCAATGCTCGAGTTTCGTTCAGCGGAAAAGTTAGACGCTTTGGATTCACCTAGGATATTTAACACTCACCTACGGCTCAGCAATCTTCCAAAGAAACTGGTTGAGAGGAAGTGCAAGATTGTATTTTTAGTCCGAAACCCAAAAGATACAGCTGTGTCTTTGTACAACCACATGTCAGCAAAGGGATCTGCATTCGCTTACAAAGGCAGTTTTGATGACTTTTTATCCTTATTTATGAGTGACATATGTAAGTATACATCCACACCAAACAAGTAGAGCAAATGTTATTTCAAAATGTAAAGTTCCTGCTTTGAGGTTAAAATTAGTAATGGTTTAACTGAATTAAACAATTAATATCCAGAAAAGCGTTCGAAATCATATGAGAGCAAGCACGATTGAACGATTCTTTTTACGCTTGCATTCGTCATGAATATTTGAACATATTTTATTTATCGTTGATTTGATAGAATTGAATTCAGAAATCATTTGTCGATTTTGCGCTGTGACACATGAATATCAGTTTCATTTAAGAATAAATAAAATATAAGAGTATCAGGGAAACATATTCCTTTCTGAAACAATTAACATGACATACTTGAATAATGATAGCTTAGCTTATTTTTTGTGGTCATTAGTTATAAGATTGTAACGTTATAAAAGAAATTCATAAGATACCTTTCCATGGTCAGTAATTCTTATATGACTACGTAGGACCTGTTTCTCTGTTATACAACTTAGTTCCACACAACGCGTGGCCTGGGTATATGACGGGATGGGAGACTGACTTTGCGTTAAATCCAGACGTTCCACGTCACATTATATACTATGAGGATCTAAAACAGGTAGGTCGAGTAGTTGTTCCTGATCAGGTCTATGCTAACGTCATCATAGACATAATGAGGAATTAGTTTGTTGTCAATCAAATCCAATTGTAATTGTTAATCTTTGTAATTTGGTTTGATATATTTTTCGCTATTTTACGCTGTCTGTTGCCATTGATTCTAAATGCAACTTAAAACTTTATTGAATTGTAAATTAGTGTTGGCTGTCTCTGTTATGGCTAAGGTAGTTTGTTTGTGACCGACAAACTTTGATGAAGTTGACTGACAAGTGTTTCAATTTCAGATATATCGACAATGTACTATCTTTGAATCATGTGACCACCCCGTCGGTCATAACTACCCCCTCCGGCCACAATCATTATCTCACTTGGAAATGTAATATTTCCTTGGGCTATATGAAGGTCATTCTGTATTTTACTTGTTAGTACGCCTTTTGGTTTTGATGTCACTATCCCGGTACTAACTTTGAGGTCGTGACATTACATTAAGTTATCCTAAAGAAGAAGAAGACACTTTACCTTCCGCAGTACCTAGTCTTATTTTGAATCATATGTTTTTCTATGCTAATGCTCTTTTGTATTTACAGAACCCTGTTCATGAAGTCCGGATGTTAGCATCTTATCTAAATGTGACATGTACCGACTCATTCATTGGTGAAATAGTCGATAAGTGTTCATTTGACAATCTTAAGAATGGGAAAACTGACAGTCCTGATACTACAAAGTGGAAATTCATGTACAGGAAAGGTAATATCATGTGTATTATTATAATTGTAACACCGTTCTTGGTAACGCTGAAATAATAACATTGTTACATTTGTAATAAACTGCAGTATTTTATTTCCATGCGAGTTAGATGCCAAATACCCGTGTTTTAATATCTTGATTCCATCAATAGAGTTATATTCATTATCTTATAGTGAATTTCTCAGTTTACAGAACATATTAGGAAAAAACTCGCTTCATGTAAAGAAGTAGATAGGACACTGTTAAATATGGTATTATAAACAACTGTTGTAATATACTACTCTGAGTTAATGTTATATGTGTCATGTACATTATTACAATTGATTTACCATAAAGTAATGTGCGGAGGGTTATTTTCGTTTTCCGTAAGGAATCCCAGGATTATTTTAGAAACCGGCATATTATTACTACCGTCTTATTAGCACAGTCATATAAACAGTTAGGCGTGTACAGCTTAATTTCAAGGCCGTCTTTCTTATAAACAGTCAAATAAATCGTTTTATTTGCCTAGCTATTAGAAAAAAATAGTTAGTAATATAGTCAGCACAATTAGTAGAAATTCATAAAAAAAAAAAATTACCGCTGTTAGTTTGTCACCCCTAACTGGACCTTTTTGAATGGTACAAGTCAAAACATGCCTCAATTTGTTGAAATTTCAAGTCTAAGAGTTACCCTTCCACGTAACCATTATGTAACTATACACAAAACATTGAGACGTTTCACATATAAATGGGTGTCACAGTATATACAAAGTTAACTTATTTAATACAATGACGCAATGTATACACATTTATATAGCATGTGACTTGTCCTTGTGCTTACATGTCCCTGTGATACAAATTGACTTTTAGACTATCGTGCTGTACTGGTATAGGGGTATCATAATGACCTGTCGTGTAGACCTACTATTACAACATCGATTACAGTATTTATACATAGCGAGTATAGGTAGATATATGTAGTCAACAGTTTTACACCTGATACATCTGAACATTGAACAGGTGGCATGACTGAACAAATGAACATCGCGATGTAAGCTGTTCGCAATGGTTACATGTCCTGGTAAACAGGTTTTTTCTTAAAATCTGTATGTCTTCAATTTAAGAAATATCATATAGTTTTAGCAATTACCTAAATGTATTTGTTAATGTATAAACATGATGTTCGCCTGACAACAACTAGTTTGTGTGGTAATTCATGCACTTTTAACATCACCAGTACAATTATTTTTCGAATATACCATAACTGGACTTACATTTTCCTTTACGTTTTATCATTCATAACACTGAAAATAATTCATAGCAAAAATAGAGCTATTTTGTTTCTTTTATTTCAATTGATAATTATTGAATTCACTTATCTATTAACGTGAATAGCAGATCGGATACTTATCTGTTGTTCTGTTATATATTGAAGATAGATCTGACAATAATCTATGGTTGGGCACTAATCTATTATTTCATTTTGTATTCCAGGAGAAGTTGGTGATTGGAAAAATTGGTTTACAGTAGCACAAAATGAAGCATTCGACAAATACATAACAAAAGAAACGGAAAAATCTAACTTTAAATTCAAATATACCTTATAACGTGTACCATAGTTTTTTACGATTTTTACAATAAACGTTTAAAATATTTATCAACCTAAGTGTTTGTTTTTTTATGTCAGTCAACAATTATATACTACGCCAGTCAATAATCATATAATACGCCAGTAAACAATCATATCCTACGCCTGTCAATAATCATATACTACGCCAGTCAACAATTATATACTACGCCAGTCAAAAATAATATACTACGCCAGTCAATAATCATATACTTCGCCAGTCAACAATCATATACTACGCCAGTCAACAATAATATACTACGTCAGTCAATAATCATATACGTGCCAGTCAACAATCATATACTACGCCAGTCAACAATCATATACTACTCCTGTCAATAATCATATACTACGCCAGTCACCAATCATATACTACGCCAGTCAACAATCATATACTAAGCCTGTCAATAATCATATACTACGCCAGTCACCAATCATATACTACGTCAGTCAACAATCACATACTACGCCAGTCAATAATCATATATTACGCCAGTCAACAATCATATACCACGCCAGTCAACAATCATATACTACGCCAGTCATCAATCATATACTACGCCAGTCAACAATCACATACTACGCCAGTCAATAATCAGATATTACGCCAGTCAACAATCATATACTACGCCAGTCATCAATCATATACTACGCCAGTCAACAATCACATACTCCGCTAGTCAATAATCATATACTACGCCAGTCAACAATCATATACTGGGCCAGTCAACAATCATATACAACGCCAGTCAATAATCATATACTGGGCCAGTCAACAATCATATACAACGCCAGTCAATAATCATATACTACGCCAGTCAACAATCATATACTAAGCCTGTCAATAATCATATACTACGCCAGTCACCAATCATATACTACGCCAGTCAACAATCACATACTCCGCTAGTCAATAATCATATACTACGCCAGTCAACAATCACATACTACGCCAGTCAATAATCAGATATTACGCCAGTCAACAATCATATACTACGCCAGTCATCAATCATATACTACGCCAGTCAACAATCACATACTCCGCTAGTCAATAATCATATACTACGCCAGTCAACAATCACATACTACGCCAGTCAATAATCATATACTACGCCAGTCAACAATTATATACTACGCCAGTCAACAATGATATACTACGCCAGTCAACAATCATATACTACGCCAGTCATCAATCATATACTACGCCAGTCAACAATCACATACTCCGCTAGTCAATAATCATATACTACGCCAGTCAACAATTATATACTACGCCAGTCAAAAATAATATACCACGCCAGTCAATAATCATATACTTCGCCAGTCAACAATCATATACTACGCAAGTCAACAATCATATACTACGCCAGCCAACAATCATATACTACGCCAGTCAACAATCATCTACTACGCCAGTCAACAATCAGACACTACGTCAGTCAACAATCATATACTACGCCAGTCAACAATCATATCCTACGCCTGTCAATAATCATATACTACGCCAGTCACCAATCATATACTACGTCAGTCAACAATCACATACTACGCCAGTCAATAATCATATATTACGCCAGTCAACAATCATATACTACGCCAGTCACCAATCATATACTACGTCAGTCAACAATCACATACTACGCCAGTCAATAATCATATACTACGCCAGTCAACAATTATATACTACGCCAGTCAATAATCATATACTACGCCAGTCAACAATCACATACTACGCCAGTCAATAATCATATACTACGCCAGTCAACAATCATATACTACGCCAGTCAACAATCATCTACTACGCCAGTCAACAATCATACACTACGTCAGTCAACAATCATATACTACGCCAATACTTATACTTTATTTCCCTAAAAATACATAAGATTTCATCAGAATTATCACTTTAACCAAGACTCAATCCACCTCCATTAACTACTGGATTTGGAGGGTATCTCACTGACACGGATAACTCCATTAACTACTGGATTTGGAGGGTCTCTCATTGACACGGATAACTTCATTAACTACTGGATTTGGAGGGTCTCTCACTGACACGGATAACTCCATTAACTACTGGATTTGGAGGGTCTCTCACTGACACGGATACCTCCATTAACTACTGGATTTGGAAGGTCTCTCACTGACACGGATAATTCCATATTCAACTACTGGATTAGGAGGGTCTCTCACTGACAGGGATATCTTCATTAACTACTGGATTTGGAGGGTCTCTCACTGACAGGAATAACTCCATTAACTACTGGATTTGGAGGATCTCTCATTGGCACGGATATCTTCATTAACTACTGGATTTGTAGGGTCTCTCACTGACACGGATACCTACCTTAACTACTGGATTTGGAAGGTCTCTCACAGACACGGATAACTCCATATTTAACTACTGGATTAGGAGGGTCTCTCACTGACACGGATAACTCCATTAACTACTGGATTTGGAGGGTCTCTCACTGACAGGAATAACTCCATTAACTACTGGATTTGGAGGATCTCTCATTGGCACGGATATCTTCATTAACTACTGGATTTGGAGGGTCTCTCACTGACACGGATACCTACCTTAACTACTGGATTTGGAAGGTCTCTCACAGACACGGATAACTCCATATTTAACTACTGGATTAGGAGGGTCTCTCACTGACAGGGATAATTCCATTAACTACTGGATTTGGAGGGTCTCTCACTGACACGGATTCCTCCATTAACTACTGGATTGGGAAGGTCACTCACTGACACGGATAACTCCATTAACTACTGGATTTGATAACAGTCTTTTATATGATCAAGAATATGTGCAAAATATTAAAGATACCATATATAAGATCAAACATCAATATTCATCACCAATTTACGATAATGATATTTCTAATATAACTGATGAAGAACTAATATTTTGTATAGATGAACAACTTTTTTTAGAAACATTATTAATGGAAATGAGGGGAACAACTGTATCGTATTCATCATTTATACAAAAAAAGAACGGGACAAAAGGGCAAAAAGTACTAATATCTGATCTAGGAAAATTAGAAGACAATAATACATTGGCTACTAATTTAGATGAATACGAACAGAAAACAAACGAGCTAGAGAATATTAAAAAAAAAAAAAAATGAAAGGGCATATGATCAGATCAAAAGTAACTTGGCTTGAAGAAGGGGAAAAACCATCAAAATATTTTTGCAACTTAGAAACACACAATTATGTTAATAAAACTATTGTAAAAGTTGAAAAAGAAAATGGGGAAATCATAACTAGTCAAGATGAAATTCTTAGGGAAATACAAAACTTTTACAAACAATCATATGCTGACCATTCGGATAATATTGAAGATGTTAATTTAGAAAGCCATTTAGATGGTTTAGAATGTGTAAAATTAACAGACAATCAACGTGTAAATTTAGAAGGCGAATTATCAGAAACAGAATTACTCTTTGCATTAAAAAACATGAAAAACTGTAAATCAACCGGTTCCGATGGTTAAACTAGTGATTTTTTCTTAAAAAAATGGAATAATTTAAAATATTTTATTATCAGAGCATTGAATTTTGGTTATAATAAGGGGGAGCTATCCATTACACTAAGACAGTGTATTATCACCTGTATTCCCAAAGGAGATAAAGTTAGACATTTTATTTAAAATTGGAGGCCGATGACTTTATTAAATGTTATATATAAACTTGCTTCAGCTTGTATAGCCAACAGACTAAAAACGGTTCTTGATTTTATTATTTCAGACACACAAACAGGGTTTTTAAGTGGAAGATATATTGGGGAAAACACCAGACTTATTGCGACATTATAAATTTTACTGAAATAAACAACATACCAGGACTTTTAGTAATTAATTTTGGTGAGAGCATTAAAAAATGAGAAAACATTATACAAAAATACCTACTCTGCAATAAGCCAAAATTGTATACTGTCAATTTTTTTTGATATACAAAGGGGTTGGCGACAAGGGGATCCTGTCTCCCCATATCTATTTTTTACTTGTAGTTGAAATATTGGCTATTCTTATAAAAAAAAACATAAAAATATCAAGGGCATTACAATCCAACAGAAAGATCATAAGCTCTCACAGTTTGCAGATGATACCTCACTAATTTTAGATGGATCTAGAAACTCATTCAACGAAGCACTGAATGTTTTAGATTGCTTTGGTAAAATATCGGGACTAAAAGTAAATAATGATAAAACCAAGGTGATTTGGATTGGCAGCAAGAAATTCAGTGCATACGTTTACCATCAAAGATGGAAACTGAAATGGGGAGAAACAAAATTTAATATGCTAGGGGTTTATTTTTCAGTTAATCTAGATGAGGTTGTAACCTTGAATTATACCACAGTTCTTAAAAATGTTAATAAAAGTATAAACCAGTGGTCACGCAGAATTTTAACAACTCTTGGTCGGATAGTTGTATTAAAATCAATTATTATACCAAAATTTAATCATCTATTCATATCTGTTCCTACACCCGACAACAATTTTATTCAACAGTTGAACACTACTTTTTTCAATTTTATTTGGCAATCACCAGTCGAAAAAAATAAAACAGACACTATAGTCCAAAGCTATGAAAATGGGGGTCTGAAAATGATTAATATCAGGAGTTTTATAACAAGCCTTAAGTCTACATGGATAAGAAGATTACCTAAGAATAATGATAAATGTTGGACAAATATTTTTGAAGCAGAACATTTTCCCACCATCAACATATCAGATTTTGGTACTGACTTCATTAAAAAATTTAAGACCAAAAATGCCTTCTGGAAAAATGTTTTTCAGGCATGGGTAGATATTTCAGAAGAAACACAAGTGCGAATTAAAAATATTGAGCAGTTTCTTACTCTTCCTATATGGTATAACCCAATTTTCTGCATTGATAACAGGTCTTTTTTCATTAAAAATGGTTTGAGAAGGGTGTTAAAAATGTGTGTGACCTACTGGACCAAGACAATTCTTTTTAA